CTGCTGCTTCTTGACTACAGCATTGTTTTTCTCCAAGGAACAAGGACAAATTCAAGGTAGGCACAATGAATCACAGTATCAGCTTTATTCTTTCCTTGAACAGAAGATTTTATAACTGACTCATCACTGTAATTGCTCTTTTGCGCAACTTTTCCAAATTCTACGCTCTCCTTTTTGACATGGGGCAAACAATATGCAGTAACTCAAATGCAATTCCATCAGTTATGATAGTATCCCTGTCTATTTGTAAACTCCTCCCTAATAATCCCTGGCACTAATTTACCCTTTCCACCACTCATTTTCAATGAGCTATCTAACCTGCTTCCAAGTTTTCTTTAACGCTTAGTCCCTGGAATTTCAAACATCACAAGCAAAGATGGGCCACACATAAGAATCAGTTGTTTTCTACAGCAGCAAAATCAGCACATCAGGATAGAGCACATAAGTTCGACTGTCTTTTCTGAGAGGGACTAAAGTATCGCTTTTCGTAATCTACTGTCTAGAAAAAGAATCTTTGCTTAGCTTTAGTTCAATTTCAATTTTGCTTTATCACAAACTATTAGCATTTCTGAGCTGATACAAAACAGTGGAACATGGCTTTATCAGTAGGGCATCTCCTGAAGCCCTCCGATAAAGAGAGATCCCAAACCAACCACTGATGCCACCCTTTTAAGGCAGGAATGGCTGGTTTCTCAACCAGTCCTACACAGGTAGCCACTTCCTAAGCAACAGAACAACTGGGAGAGGCAGCAGAAACAGGCAGCGGCAGCAGGAAAAATCTGCTGTTATGACTACTCCTCTCCCTCATACTTTTGAGGGCAGCACCCCAAGAACAGGGCACTGATCTGTGGCAGGTTCTCCTCCTTTCTGCCTTTTAGACAGGGCTGCCGTCCCTGCTCCTTCTTCCTTGTGTCCCCAAAGATGAGCGCTGTCGTCTAGGTACAAGGCAGCAGGTATCTGATCTACAGGCAAAAGGGAAACTCACTGCAAGCGCCTTTGCTTGGAACCAGCACTATACCACTCATTTAAAATCCTCTCTTTTCACACCCTATGCCAATGACAGAGAAACATTCAAGAATAGCCTCAAGAGTTTCTTTCAAGTGGAGCTGACAAAGATGCATTTTAATTATACAAAAGATTAAGTGTGCATGCTGTCGATTTGAAAGCAAGATAAACAAGGAAAGGTTGGCAAAAGTTAAAGCAAACAACCTTCCCTTTTATCATTCATTCCTAAGGCCTGTGGTCATTCCTAAGGTTGGGAAGGGAACAAGCTTATAAATACACTCACAGCATCCCTAACCTCGTCCATAAGATGTCACGTGGGAGGAGTTCAACAAGAAAGCAATGCCAAGGAGCATTTTTGTGCATCCAAGTTCCCAGTCTCTTCTCTACTCAAACAGAAGTTTTGGAAACTTTCAAAACAATGCAGCCGCACTCACACTTTCTTCTATTACCTTTGCCTCTGGCATTTCATGCTTTCTCTATTGTCTTTCCTTTGCTGACATTTAAGCTGTAAGTTTCTGGAGAAGCAGAGAAGTATCCAGTGCAACATACAAAGATGGAGTAAGATATTGATGCTACTATAATAAATATTAGCTTTAGGGTTCTTAGGGGAACTTTCCAGCTAAATTGCTGAAATGAAGAAGCAAAACAGAAAGAGACTGGGGTGAGCAAGTGATCAAAGCTGTTCTGGAAAAGCTATACTGATTAATTAACAAAACTGTAATTGTCAGATCAAGGTGCACACCCTTTGCTATGATTTCAAACTACATGGATCTACTGAAGACAGACTATAGTTTTAAGAGGGTTTAAGATAGCATGATAAAACTCATCATTATTTATGGTTTGTTCACTTCTTTATTTTTGTCCTACTGCTATTTCTGGCAAGACTAAAGTCATGTAAAACTCTACTTGTTCAGGGACAATTCTGCTGCAGAAGAAACAAACAAGCACATTGTGAGCAAGAACTATTTTCTGATTCCAATTACAAAGATAACAATTCATTTATTCCATTAAATAAAGTCTTTACCAAAGCTGGAAGTCCTAAATGTCTGAACATTTCATTTGCTTTTTCAAGCTATTTCTTTCACAATTCTAATAAGCAAAATATAAACCTGAAAAACATGCAAAATTATTTTACATAAACATGCTAGATCTGTTCACTTAGTTTCAGTGTTTCTTTTCAAAACTCCTGTAATACCATACCACATAGCTGTATACTCTATATACAGCAGCAAAGAGTCAGCCAATATATTGGCTGGAATATAGTCTGTGGTCTTTATTAGCAAATTTGGTAGTGCCTGATCACTGGCACAGCTATTCATAGATAAATATTTCTAAGTACAGAATGTGAAATTATCTTAGGCAGGAGAAAAATAATAGTTTCTAATAAAACAAAGAAGAGAAAAATAGAGAAAAATCCTAAATAGATTTCAGGAAGGAGGGTTGTTGTAAAATGGCAAACTGGAATTTTTCATACATGAAGGAGAATGCTGTAGATATAATCAATCTAAATTTCATCAAAGTTTTGGCAAGGTTCTATATGACATTCTCATTGACAAGCTGCTAAAGTGTCATCTTGGCAGCACTATACAGGTGGTTCTCATTTAACAACCACTCATTCAGTGACCGTTTGAACTTACGATGGTGCTGAATGAGTGGTAGTTATGACCGGTCTTCGAACTTATGTCAGTTGCAGTGTCCCACGGTCACACGATCACCATTTGTGATCTTCTTTGCTGGCTTCCGACAAGCAAAGTCAATGGGGAAGCCAGCAGAAGGTCACAAAGGGAGACCACATGACGTCCTCACTTAACGACCCACAGGGATTTGCTTAATGATGGCAACCAGAAGTGCCAGAATTTTCGTTGCTAAGCAGTACAGTCACATGATGTTGCGTTTTACGACCACATTGCTTAATGACAGAAATTCCAGTCCCAACTGCTGTTGTTAAGTGAGGACTACCTGTGGTAAGATAGGTTCTCAACTGTTGTCTAGCCACACTCAGAAGGTCAGCATTAGTGGCTCTACATTGAGTTAGAGGACAGAATCTAGTGGGGTCCCTCAGGGGCCAATAAAATTTAACATTTTTGTTTATCACCTGGATAATGAGATTGATGGTTTTCTCATCAAATTTACAGATGACACAAAACTGGGAGATCTGGACAACATCCAGAATGACAGAACAAGATTGAAATCTGATTTGGATAGATTGGAAGATTGGGACAAGAGGAACAAGATATCTTTCAACAAAGAGAAATGTAAAATATTACTAGAGAGGAAAAATATAGGACATACTTGTAAGATTCATGGTTTGGAAGCCCTACATTGGAGAATGACTTGGACTGACAACATGCTGTGGACTGGCAACATGCTGTGGACTGGCAACATGCTGAATGGAGCCTGCGGTGTGAAACAGCCACTTGACGGGCTACTTCAGTTCCGGGTATCATTAGAAAAAGCACTATATCAAAGATGTGTATTAGTCCTTACTCTCCTCTACTCTGTGCTAGTGAGATCACACCTGAAGTACTCTCCACAATTCTGGGTACCACATTCCAGAAGGATACTGACAAATTAGAATAGGTCAGAGGAAGACACCAAAGATAATAAAGGGATTTGAGGACATGCTTTATCAGGATAGGATGAAGGGACTTGGGCTCTTCAAAGTGGAGAAGAGAAAAAAAGATTGAAGGGAGACATGGTATCACTGTTTAGGTACATAAAAGGAAAATGGTCAGAAACTATTTTCCAATGCCACAGAAAGTGGGACCAGAAATAATGGGTATAATTACAGCTACCTAGATTTCATTTAAATATAAAGAAAAATGTCCTAGTTGTAAGTTCTGTGTAACAGTAGAATAGACTACCAATGGAGGTTATGGATTCTCCATCTTTGGAAGTTTTTAAGAAGAGGTTGGACAGCTACTTCTTGAGGATAGTTTAACTGGTTTTCATACATATTGCAGAGGGCTAGACTACATGATTCTTGTGGTCCCTTCTGACTCCACAGTTTTATTAATTCTGTGAACTGATGTAACATCATAATATAGTATCACTCTTATTCTAATGTTCTGAAGCAAACAGAAATGCTGTTGGATGCTCTGAATGCAATTTTGTTGCTGCCCGAAGTGATAGCAAAACGCTTAGCTGCTCCATCTTAAATAAGAAGCTACTCATATGGCAAAATAAAATGCAGTGTGGACATGCTTTTTCTGCAAGTCATGCAAATTTGCAACCATGTTTTCATAAGAAACAATTTGCCATTTGGAATAATTTGTTATCACTGGCAAGCTTGATCATTTCATTCTACATTCTGACTCTAGATAATTTATGAGCAATGCCCTGATCCAGGGCATATGCTTGGAAGTTTCTACTGCAAGAAAGTCCCTAAACACTTAGCTTCTACATCCTTGCTTTACCAGTTACTCTTCCGTATTCTCCTCTTATTCCCTGACAATTAGGTGTAACAATTTGACTGAAGTTTTAAGGGAAGTGCCATGACTGTGAATAGCAGCAATGTCCACAGAAGGAAGGTGAAACTGACAAAGGTAGGGTTGTACTGCAAGCCCCACCCATCATTCTTATGAAAGCAAGAAACCTCGGTGGACACCCATAACTGGGAGAACATATACATACCACTCAAATGCACACACTTCCATCACACATCCTGGTGCAATTCATTCTAAGACACAGATCGTTGCTGTAATTTATAGTTTCTTCCTCAGAAATGGCTTCTTAAATATTGCCCGAATTGCAGAACTTGGATCACCGCCCTGATTCAATGACAAGATTCCTTCAGAGAACGAAAGCTTTGTTCTGACGTTGAAGGAGGAGATGCGTGCGGCTGGCATACAGAGGGCTTGAGAAAAGGATTCAAATGATCCATCTCTTCAAGCCAAGATCCATATATTCATCCTTTTCATAGCAACAAGGAAATGGGCATGAATGCAGATGCATATATCAGCCTTCTAATTTAACAATGAAACACCATCACTTACATGACTCTCTGGTTATGAACTGAGGGACTGCATTGGGGGTGGCAGGAGTGCTTGGATTAGGAGTTCCCACTAATTTGCTCTTAGCCATCTTCGTATTGGCCTTTGCAAACTCTAGTCGGAGCGTCTGAGGGATTTCTGGGTCAAAACGAATTCCCTTTTGCAGAGAGAAAATAAAATAACAAGAATCATTTGGTGCATCAACTAAACTGAATTACACTAAAGGTACACTAAAACTGACTGACAAGGCTAGGAACAGTATCACAACAAATCAGGAGCTTCAAACAAAGTAAAGAGATCCAAGATAAAAGAGATGCCATTTTTCTGAGCTCTACCAACTAACAGCATTTAAAGGCTCTGTAATCTTCACCAAATAAAACAGCTTGATAGATAGCACAGATTACCATTAATATTATGTCATGTTATAATATTACACTATATTACTATTACTATATTACTATATTACCTGACCAAGGAGAAGAGGGAAATAGCAAGGAATTATTTGGTTTAGCAGAATTCTAAATCACCTTTCATTATGTAAAAGCCTTCACAAACCTTTGCACAAACAATATATACAATGCTGTGTGTGACAAAACCAGACAACTTATATAAGGAAAAAAACAAACACTTTTGAAAAGACCAATGCAAAGTAATAAATTATTGAGAAGACCACATTTACAAAGTAAGCCGAAACTCGCTAGGTAGAAGTACCCGAGAAGATACTGAACACATGTGACCAAATATGACACAGCTACATAAAAAGGCTATCACTTTCAACAAGAGCAGTATCATAAATCCTACTAAGGTATTCAAGAAGTTTTAATATCTTTGTTTAAGGCCACTTCACTTGAAAAGGATTTAGACAAAACAAAACCAAAAAAACTAAACATATTCAGGAGACAGATCCTAACAAAACATAAGTTCATGTTTACAAACAAATAGACTGAATTTATAAGAAGCATATAACAGTCATCCTTAAAATACATCTCATAAAATATACGCTGGCATAAACAAACAGATCCAAACACCATCAACTACTTGTTTGCTCTTTCCAAGAGAACCATAATATGTCAGGGACAACCACCTAATAATCTCCTTCAAAGGAACTAGGAATATTAAAGTTTCAGTTGCCTCAAATGAGATCAGGGATCAAAGGCCGGCATACACAAGGATTTTAGCAAGCACTACTCTAACCATAAGACATCACCGAGCAATGTATGCATATAAATATTCTTCTAGAAGGATCATCTTTATCAACAGTACCTTTTGAAACTAGTCATGTCATTCAGATTATGCATGAGGGAGTAGTTTGGAGGATGGGAGCTGGAGGGTGAACGTGTCTTCTCTCAGGGAGAGAAGAGTGAGAGAAAGCCTGGGGAATTTTTCTCAGAAGGGCCAGCCTGCTTTTGCCTGCTAGAATAGCTCTAGCTAGACAGCAGATGGTTGGGAGTCATTGTTAAAGTGCTGCAGATGGAGGGAGATGATTGGAGGGGAGGGGATATTTGGAAGGCCGGAGAATGATGGGTGGATTGTGGATTTCCATCTTTTGGCCTATCTGACCCAACCCAGGGTGTCCTTTTTTGCCAGATTACAGGAAGCTTTAGGCTCAGGTTGGTTCTGATGAATGCCACGATGAGTTTAAAAAGACCTTGCTCCTCCATGATCTGGTGTTGGAGATATGGCATGTATCACTTGAGACCTGGTTAGGCAAGGATGGAATGATCTCTCGGTATACTAACCTCAACTCCAGGACAGGGCAGGAATGGTGGTGCTAATAATTTCCTGAGGATCTGACAATGACCAGGTGGACTGTTCTGCAGATGATTAGATTGAAGTCCTATGTGCAGCTGGGAGGTCTGCTGGTGTACCACCAATTAGCTCCTTCCTTGACCTCTTCAGCCTCATTGCCAGGCTAAAGGTTGACTCTAACAAGTTGTTTGTGCTGGAAGATTTTAACCTCCATTCCTTGAGGGAAAAGTCAGTGGGCTCAGGAGTTCATGGCTACATGACAACCAAATCATCATATACTGAGTCATGTAAGTGGTTTCATGTTGGTCTGCTGTTCACCTCATACCAATTAGTTTGTGATCTGAGAGTAGAGAACATTAACATCAGTTGATTGTCATGGACTGGTCACTGTCCAATTAGTATGGTATTCACAGCCACCACTGATCTCTGGGGTAGGGGGCAGACCAATTAAATTGATCTCTCCAGGCACCTTATGGATCTGAACTGTTTCCAGAAGGCACTTGGGGAATTTCCCAGCAATCAAGAAGGCAACTATACAGTGAGCTTGGTCGGACTGTGAAACAGAGGCAGTCAAGGGATTCCCTGGTGTTGCTCTCAAGTGGCCTTTCTAAAGAAACTGGTCCGGGGGCTCTTTTCTGTGGTACTAATTACACACACATAGCCAGCTTCTGATAAAGAACCAGTATATTAATTGCAGTCATATATACTTAATTGCAATAACATAAACATGTTGCAAACTACAACCTTCTGCTTGAAGAATGAAAACACAAAAGCTTCCTTTTCAGATAGTCCAGAGTTCAACAGTGATGCAAGAGAGGGCAGGTTCCGGTCCAAATTTTAGCCAGATAATCCCAAGAATCCAAAGCATAACACAGAGAAGGAAGCAGGAAGATGAAATGTTGACTGCCCCAACAAGCAGTCAAGCTGCAGTTTCCTTTCCTACCAGCTTGACTAATTTGCTGAGTCATGTATCTTTCTTTCAAATGGACAGCTTGATTCCCTTTGCTCTTCTCTTCTTAATTTGGAATGTGTTGCTGGGCTCATGACCTTGCCTAACACAGGCTCTGATTAGTTGACTCAACCTTGTCCTCTGTCTCCCCATGTGTGCTCTCTTCAGCTAATTCCAGACTCAGACTGGTCAAGTTCTTCAGCTTCTGTATCTGAAAACTCAGGCCAATCCCTGACAGACTCATTGGTTTGTTGAGGTGCTTGAGAAGTTAAAGCACCTACAAAGATGTCTGAAGTGATGATGGTGACAGACAAGGAGGAACAATGACCAGACATGGGTACAAGCCCACATTTTGGCCTACACTCTGGCAGTAGGAGCAGCAAAGCATCAATCTTTTTCTGCAGTTAGTTGGACCTCAGAGTGCTGACTTTCCTCTTTCGCAGAGCTTTTCAGGAGTGAGTTTGAGAGACAGCAGCAGATTTCTTATGATTTTAAGATGTGACATTTTGGATTTGGGGGAAGTTTTTCATCTACTGTTGAAAGCTGTCTTGAGTCATTTGAGTAAGCAGCATATAAATAATTGTAATAAATAAATGCTATATGATGTCTCTGCAATATATTCTACATAGGCAAGACCATTAGAACTCTTAAAATATAGTGGGAAAATATTTTGCAATATTAGATAGAACAGATATGTTCTTTTAAAGTGTTATGTAGAAAGATTCTTCTAACAAAATCTGCACTGGCTTTAGAACTAAATACCGTAGATCCAACAGAATAAAGTAGGTTTTTTTTTCTATTTCTGGTTTTCTGGTTCTTTGGAGATGTTCTCTTGTTTGGCTGACAAGACTTATGTTGGCTGTTCTCTTGGGCTTGAGTTCATAGTTGAGAGATAATATCTATGTTCTTGCCCTTGGAGGAAATACAGGAATGCTATATTTGAAGTCTCTAGAGTAGATGAAGCTTAAGTATCCCTTTACATGTATGGTTCATCTAAGTATTATTCTATGTGTTTACTTTAGTGTATAAGGTTACTTATTTGAGCATATACCATAAAGATTGTCTGTGTTCAAAATACTATTACTAGATTAACCCATTTTGTGAGTTTGCACAATACATCGGACCATAAAGTAACCAAGAAGGCTATATTCACATATACAACTGACAAAAACACACATGCAATTAAAATTAACTACACTGCACTTTTTGCAGGGGCAGCCAGGAGGTCCTGATTGAGCAAGATGAACAAGATGACTTGATTGAGCAAGTTGAACAAACATATTCTAAGAGTGAAGGGTCGCTCTGAAGAATGCCTGCACATATACATGTGAAGGATTTCCCTTTTCACATTTGTCAGTAGCCATTTCTTTTTGGCATCCTAACAGAGGTTATAATGAATGGAATAAATTCCATTCCAAGAGATTCAGACACTGAAAGAGATAAAGTTAAAATTGACCTGTCCATACAGATAGTGGGCAGAGAGAACTGAAGTCTTGGAAATGCTAAGTAGTCAATCAGAAGTGAGGGTTCCACCCTCAACTAGTGTTTTTGAGGAGGGAGCAATTTCCATTTTGTCTTTCATCTTTATCTTTCTCTGAAGAGGAGGTGGGGGAATTCTCTGGGTTTGGCTACAAGCCAGATAAGAAAAGAAGATCCATCATTTAGAAGTTTGGGTTGGGTTCCAAGAAATGAGACCAGTTTGGGATTAGTGAAGCCAGATGCAGTATAGATTTTGTACTGGAGAATGACCTTGGGAGACAGGTGCTAATGTAAATGTACAATAAAGTTAGAGCTAGTACTTCTGGGTGTGCTTCTTGTCTGGACTACCTCATAAGGCTGACAGATTTTGCTTTATTTAATGAACAGTGATCTGGGCCCCAGCATTAAGGGTTACCTTTTTTTTTTTTTTAATCTGCGCTCAGTCGTTACCGACTCTGCAGTGACTGCTTGGATGAGTCCTTGCAATTTTCAAGGCAATT